AGGATGTAGGTTTGTTTAGAGTGACCTTCTCTTAGATGGATTGCCTCACAGGGCTAACGAGCTCCATCTGCCCGGGGGGCTGGGAATCGAACCCGGGTCGCAGCGGTGAGAGTCCTGCACCCTAACCACTAGACCACCAGAGGCCCCTGCACCCTATTAACCACAGGGAAATAGCAGAGCAAGAGGTGCCAGGCTGGGATTTCAGCACCCCCAGCCCCATCTCACCCAGGTAGTTGATGGAGAGGTTCAGCTCCCGGATGTCGATGTGGACGGAGCCCTTGGGAATCTGGATCACCTCCTCATAACCTGTGAGACAACCCAGGGCTGGTGAGTTTGGAATGCTCAACCTCTGAGCCCAGAGCCAGCCCTGCCCTGGACTGGGTGGGAGTGAGCCCCCTCCTATCCCTGGGGAAATGCTAAATGATGGAAAGAGCATTTTGAGCACCAGGACAGTGCCCTGCTGGCTCTGCAGTTCGGGCTCTGTGATGGGACTGGCTGTGCTGGGAAGGTGCTGTGGAGCTGGGATCTCCATGGGAAACTCCCAAGCCTGGCTCAAGGGCAGCATGAGCTGGGGAGGAGGGAAGGAGCTTGGAGCTCTGAGTCAGGGATTTGGGTGCCAGCACAGAGGGGGGCACAGCCTGGTCAGTGACGGGGGGGTTTGCTCCCTGATGGCAGCCCGGTCCTACCCCTTGGGGTGTTTCTCTGGGATACGTCCCTGCCTGTCCTGGGTGAAGCTGAGAGGGGATTTGAGGGTGGGTGACACTGGCCAGGCCACTCACTCCCTACCTCCCTCTGGCAGGGACTGGTTGAAGGTGCCCTCGATGGTCTCACAGGAGCTGCCGTCGCCCCCACATACACGACACTTGTCCTCCTTCGAGTCCGAGCCCAGGACACGGTCACAGCCCACGTGCTGGAGGAAGGGGCAGCAGGGAATTAGCCATCCTGGTGGGACCTTTTCCTCCTCATACCTGACCTGCAGCATCCCAGGAAGGCCATCCCTGGCTCCACCTCACACCCATCACCACACCATACAGTGCTCAGCAGCATCACCTCTCCAGGAACAGCCCTTGGGGCTCTCCAAGGCTGAGGAGGTGCAGGCAGAAATCCCATGACTGTGGGATAAGGCAGAGGTTGGGATGCCTGTGTTGAGCTGCTGGAGCTGCAGCAGCCCAAGGGAAGCCATGTCCCTGCAGCTCAGGTGTCCCTGTGGAGCCTCTGGCTCTGTCCCACTGCCACGGTCCGAGGGGGATCATGGGGGTCACCAGCACCTGTAGTGCAATGCCCCTTCTGTTCCACAGTGTGTTCAGCCCCACGGAGACAAAGACATCCCAGAGACACAGGAAGGGAGACAGACACAGACAGAGCCTGTCTGTCTGTCTGCCTGCTGGGGGACATTGGCCACTCCCACAGCGCTTGCTTATAATTAAACTTTCATGGCCCCTCCAGATCCCATTTCAACAGGAATATCAAATGCCCAGGGCTACACAGGCTGTGAGTGCAGAGGCCCATGTGCACACCCAGGGCCTGGAGACAGGACAGGCACAAGCCCAGTGTGGGTGAGTTCCTACCCCCCAGTGGAACTGGGAATCAGAGAGTCATGGAATGGTTTGGGTTGGAAGGGATCTTAGAGGTCATCTTGTTCCAACCCCTGCCATGGGCAGGGACACTTTCTACTATCCTAGATTGCTCCAAGTCCAATTTGGCCTTGGACACTTCCAGGGATGGGGCAGCCACAGCTTCTCTGGGCAACCTGTGCCAGGGCCTGACCACCCTCACAGTCAAGAATTCCTTCCCAACATCCCATCTAACCGTGGGATATTGGGAATATCTCTCTGGCAGTAGGAAGCCATTCCCCCTTGTCCTGTCCTTCCATCCCTCGCCCCCAGTCCCTCTCTAGCTCTCCTGCCCCTCTCCAGCCCCCTTTAGGCCTGGGAAAGGGCTCTCAGGTCTCCCTGGAGTCTTCTCTTCTCCAGGTGAACCCCCCCAGCTCTCCCAGCCCTCCATCTCTGCCATGTCCGTGTGGGCAGGTTGAGGGCAGTGCTCCCATGCCTGGGGGTCTATCCTTGCCTCCCCATCCCTGTCCCGGGTCCCAGCAGCACCTTGCACTCCCCGTTGACACAGATGTCATTAGAGTCCTGCCGACACGGGGTCCCGTCCACCACGGCCGCCGCCCGCTCCGTGTAGAAGTTGAAGCCCTCGGCCAGACAGTTGAGGGAACAGGCCTTCACACCCCCTGGGGAAGGAGCAGAGGGTCAAATGGTGCTGCCAAGGAGAGAGGAAAGATGTGGAGATGCAGGAGGATGTCCCTGATGAGCAGAGAGACCCACAGAGGCACCGTGTCAGGGCCCTTCAGATGGACACCGACCCACAGTGAGACACTGTCCCTCCTGCACAGCCTGGGAGGCAGGGGCTGGATGTGACAGGGAAGGAAACAAACTGGTTCTTTTCTGGGTCTTCTGGCACTTTACAACTCCTTGTGCCCACTTTACAGACAGGGAAACTGAGACAGCACCTCTTCAGTGAATCGTCCAAGGGTTTTTTAAGCCCCCAGACCAGAACAATCAAGTTTTTCAACTCCTACACCAGTTACTAGGCCAGAGAAACCATTTCTTTGTGTTTGACGCTGGTGGATACTGAGTCCTTCACAGCAAAGATGATGACAGCAGTGTGAGGATGAAGGGGGAAGGATGCCCAGGTTACTGCTAAAATATCTGTTCCCTAACACCCCTCACCAAAGCATCAGGTAAGGAACAGAGGCTGGATAGGTGGATATTGGCTTATAGTGCCTGGGAGCAGGAT